TGGTGGCAGCTGTCTGCCATCTTACCTAATCTTAGGACCTCTCCTGATCTCACACAGGTGACATCATCCGGAAAATCATCCCCAACCACGAGCTAGTTGGAGAGCTGGCAGGGCTGTATTTGGAGAGTATCAGCCCCAGCGGTCGCAATCCTGCCAGCGTGGAGCCCACCGTGCCCATCACCAGCCCCGAGTGGGACCCCCAGGGTGGGGACTGCACCCAGGATGATAGTCACTCAGGGACCTTTGGGAGTGTCCTGGTGGGGAACCGGATCCAGATCCCTGACGACTCTCAGCCTGAGAGCCCCGGCCCTCTGGGCCCCATCTCCGGGGTGGGTGGAGGGGGCCTCAGCAGCGAGAGTGAGGACAACGCGCTGAAGCGGGAGCTGCCACGGAGCGCCCATGGACTGAGTGGGAACTGGCTGGCGTACTGGCAGTATGAGATTGGTGTGAGCCAGCAGGACGCCCACTTCCACTTCCACCAGATCCGCCTACAGAGCTTCCCAGGCCACTTGGGGGCCGTCAAGTGCGTGGCGCCCCTGAGCAGTGAGGACTTCTTCCTGAGTGGCAGCAAGGACCGCACTGTGCGCCTCTGGCCACTCTACAATTCTGGGGATGGCACCAGTGAGACGGCGCCGCGCCTCGTCTACGCCCAGCACCGCAAGAGTGTCTTCTTTGTGGGCCAGCTGGAGGCCCCGCAGTGTGTGGTGAGCTGTGACGGGGCTTTGCACGTCTGGGACCCCTTCACAGGTGAGCGGGCCCAGGTGAGGTCTGTTCTATTGCTGCCATCCTGTGCCCTGTCTGGCCTCTCAGAATGGGGCCCAAGGCTGAGAGGGCTGGGGAGTAATAGTATGTGGTTTGGGGCAACCCAGTGAGGGGCAGTTAGGGCTTGGAATCATTTGACTCGAGTCTGAATCCACTCTGCCAAATTATTTACTAAGTGACCTCGAGTGAGTCACTTGGCCACTGGAAGCATCCATTTTCCCATCTGCAAAGTGGGTATCAGAACACTGATTTGGAAGCTAATGCATGTAGGGGTTTAGCTTAACATGAGCATGTAACACGTGTTTGGCAAATGGTTGCTTGATTATTTTTTGGCCTCTCGTGGTAGGAAGAAATAAGGTTAAAAGTGGGGAGGGAATGGGATAATTCTGAGGTGGACAGAGGGGGGTAGCATTCTTCTCTGTGACAAGAAAAGGTTGCTCTGGGACAGGAGCCTGACCTCGCCATAGAAGCAGAGTGATGGGAGGTCAAGAAACATCTTTAACATTGTCTAAGATCTGGGATCTGTAAGGCAGGTATTGGGCAGGCTGGGAGGATAGGAGGAGCTGGGGTTCAGCTACTGGGACCCAGATCCACTGTACTTTTTCTTCCCAGGGAAGACCATTCGCACGGTGGAGCCATCGGACAGTCGGGTGCCCCTGACTGCTGTGGCTGTCATGCCCGCCCCCCACACCAGCATCACCATGGCCAGCTCTGACTCAACCCTGCGCTTTGTGGACTGCAGGAAGCCTGGCCTGCAGGTCAGGAGCGTCTGGTTCCCTGAACCCTGGCCTGGGTACCCAGCAGGGAGGAGAGACACCAAGATAGAAAGCTACACCTCGTTTCTCTTTGGAGACAGATCCCCCACAGCAGAGGACTTTGGGAAATGGAACTTGAGCCTGTGACTCGGGATGCCCTCCCCTTCATGGGGGACAAAGGCTCAGGCCTTCCAGCTGTGTGGACTTGGGGGTGAGCAGGACCACAGGAAGTAGTGGATTGGGGCAGGCAGTAGCACCTCAGCCTTCTCCCTCTGTCTACAGCATGAGTTCCGCCTGGGTGGCGGGCTGAACCCTGGGCTTGTTCGCTCCCTGGCCGTCAGCCCCAGCGGTCGTAGCGTCGTGGCCGGCTTCTCCTCGGGCTTCATGGTGCTCCTGGACACCCGCACGGGCCTGGTTCTTCGAGGATGGCCAGCCCATGAAGGTGACATCCTACAAATCAAGGTGACAGACCAGCTCCCCTCCCCCTCCTCTGTTCTCCAGGCCCTTTCCTCTGCCTAAGGCCCACCCAGGACAGGCTCAAGCTGATCTCCCCAAAGACCGATAGGCAGGGAGGGTCAGGAATCACCTGCACTTCGGGGGCCTCGACAGGAGGCAGGCCACAGGGGCGGCAACCAGGGGGCTGAGTTGACCTTGCTGCTCCCTGGAGATGTTCTAATGAGTAACCCTTGTCCATATTTGTCTTGCTTGGAGGATCAGGGGTCGGGCCCTGTCCATGACCCAGTTCAGGTTAAATAAAGCTCAGCTGGTGCCTGTTTACTGCCCCCAGTGAGCAGAGGACCACTGAGCAGAGTCCATGCCCCATGGTGGACTGCCCTGGTGGGGGTGGGGGCAGGCCAGGCATGGGGATGCCCCCACCCTTACCCCATTCTCAGTCACAGACCTTGGGAAACCACTCCGAGAGGCAAAGGAAGGGAGGAACAAGCCTACTTGCAGCGAGATTTTTCCAAGCTGCTGGGATTCTCCTTCCTAAGTGGTGGCTGGGCGACATGCCCTGCCCCTGCTGGGGGCATGCTGCCTTCACTCCCCTGGGGCCCTGGGCTCCAGGTGTCTCTAAGTTCTGACTCTCCAAGAAAGTGGCAGAAGGGCTCCGGGGTCAGTCTGGGTGTTAATCCTGGCAGTGTCACTCAGTGACTCTCTGACCTTGGTATGATTGCTTAACTTAAAAATGGGAACGATGACAGCATCCAGAGTTGTTATGAAGATTAAATGTGGCCATCGGCACGTCTAACACCAGGCCTGAACATAGTAAGTGCTCAAGTTATGGGATGGCTAGGTTAACGACACTTCCGTTTACTCATATTAACTAACGTTAATGCCACACAGTGGGGTGGCAGCCTCTTTCACACTAAGGATACCCTGTCTTCCCCGGACGTGTTGTGGGAGGAAATGGAACACCCTAGGGTTCGGTGGTCACATAGGAGGGCGCAAGCCCTGCTGAGCCTCTCCTCTCCCTGGGCAGGCGGTGGAGGGCAGCATCCTGGTCAGTTCCTCCTCCGACCATTCCTTGACCGTCTGGAAGGAGCTGGAGCCGAAGCCTACACACCACTACAAGTCAGCATCTGATCCGATCCACACCTTCGACCTGTATGGCAGCGAGGTGGTGACTGGCACCGTGGCCAACAAGATCGGCGTCTGCTCACTGCTTGAGCCCCCCTCCCAGGCCACCACCAAACTCAGCTCTGAGAATTTCCGGGGCACGCTTACCAGCCTGGCCTTGCTACCCACCAAACGCCATCTCCTGCTGGGCTCAGACAATGGGGTCATCCGCCTCCTGGCATAGGCTGACGGGGGAGCGGCCAGTGAGGGTCAGCAGACATCCCCTGGCAGTCCATCCCTTTGCCCTCATTTTCCCAGCAGCTCCTTCTAGGAAAACCTCAGGCCCCTGCCCTATGCACCCATGGTCTACCAGCCAGGGTGGAGGCAGGGTCCAGGCACCTGAACCCCCAGGCCCACCAAGGCTGCCAAAAGGGGTCTCGTTGATGGATTGGGGATTTGCTGCTCCTAGTCAGCAGGAAGCAAGAGGAAGAGTATGGAGAAGCATCGCTGTCCTCTTCTCCCCTTTGGGTCAACATGGTGACGGGGAAGCTCCGGGAAAGGGACGGGAGACTGGCCCTGCCCAGGCCAGTCTCCAGCCAAGGCCTCCTTCACCCCCTTACTGGACTCCCTCTGCCCATTTCACAAGGACAGGGAAGATGCCCCAGTCCAGGACACTGATGGTGCTTGGACTCCAGCCTCTAAGGAGGGCTGGTATTGATCTAGGAGGTAAGAGCCTTGGCCTGGGGTTTAAGTATCCACCTAGCCAGGCCCTGCCCGGTGTGGGGATAGTAGGGGAAAAAAGAGGGAAGGAGTAGGGGAAGGAAGATGGATGGGCCAGCTGGTGCCTGCCGGGATGACCCCATTCCTTGCCTGTCCACTCCTAACCACAGTGTTTGTGCCTTGAGCTGAGGAGGCAGCTCCTGGGCCCTGTAACCCTGGGAGGTCATCCAAGACCCTGAGGGAAGGGTCGAGAAGAAACATCTCTGCATCTCAGGTCTCTCCCAGAGAATAGGAAGACCCGGGCATTCCTGGGTCCTCACATTCCAGAGCAGAGATGAGGTCTTAGACCAGGCCCCTGCTGCCTCCTCACTATTTGCAATAGATGTAAATATGACCAATAAATTCTTTGGAAGAGCCATGGAACCGAATGAGGCTTTTCTTGATGGTGGTGTCAGGGTTGGGGAAAGTTGTTACCCAGCAGCTTCAAGAGCAGTGAGGAGAGAGTGAGGAATAGGGCAGAAGGTGAGGAGGTGGCCTGATTGGTACTTTTCAGGCAGCATAGGGGACAAGGTTTTTGGTGCTTGCAGCTCCAGGCCATTGTCTAAACCCTCACCCTTGGGGCGGTAAGGATGCACTGTTCTTAGGGAGGGAGGCGGCTGGGACAGGCTAATTACCTAGGCATCACCTCTCCCTACCCCCTGCCTTCCAGGCCCAGGCTGGAGACAACCGACCAGGGTCCTGAGCTTGTGAGGCTTAGAGATGGGCGTCCTATCCCGGATTCTCTGCATAGCTTCCTGCAGTTTCCCTTTCTCTCCCCTTGGAAGGGGAAGGCAGCTATGGGGGAGAAAAGGACATTAGAAGTAGGAATCTGGATGTGATTCTGAGCCCAGCTGTGCCCTTGGGCAGGTCACATGGCCTCAGGGAGCCTAACTAACCCTACCTTGTGGGGTCACTAGGAGACTTGACACAGTGCCAGGCTCCTGTCCCTCCTGGCTCTGTCCTTCATTTGAGGACAGCTTCCTCAGTTGTCTCCTGGACCTTTCTCCAGGCTCAGGGGAGACCAAATCTGTGGTGTCCAGGTGGCTATCTCAGGACTAGACGCCCCGCTGGGAAAGGGGCTTCTGGCCCCAATATCAATGTTTAACCGGATGCGCAGGTCAATATTTACCAGAAGAGAAAGCAATCTGAGCAGGGGTTGGCTGAGAGCAAAGGTCCTGGTGGGCGGGGAGGGCTCGACTGGGCAGGCTGGAGTCTGGACAGTGTGGGTAGCATCCAAGTGGGGCCAGAGGAACATCGTGTGCGGCAGCAAGAAGCCTGGAGAGGTACGAGGGAGGGGTGGCTCTGCATGCTCCTTGGGCAGGAGAGAAGGTAGGGAGCTACCCTCCTGGCTCAGGGGGTCTGGGCTGAGTCTGGGAGGATGGAGTCATGGGGAACCGAGGTGGGGATTCTGCAGGGAATCTCTGGGAATTGAAAAACTGGAGGCCTTTTCCTGCCAGAAAGATTCAAAAGTCCAGGTGGGAGGTCAAGGCCCTGGCCAAGTACCTGTGTGTGTGATGAGAATGGTGCCAGGGGTGATAGAAGGATCCTCCAGAAGGACTGGCCCCGAGATTGGAGTAGGGTGGGAAGCGGGGTGGGGGTGAGACCTGCTCCAGGCCGGACCACGACCTGCCCATCCCCACCAGCTGGCCTGACTTCCCGGAGCTAGCCTGATGCAGAGTTGGGGGTGAGTCTGCGTTTCCCGTAAGTCCAAAGGTGGCTCTGGCCCGAGTCATTCATTGGGTTCTGCGACTAGGTCAACAAAGCAGGTCTCTGTCCACCCCACCAGCCTTGCTGAGATCTCAAACCAGCCTGAAGAGGCAGACGGGATAGACTGCTGATTGGATAGGAGCTCTGGGAAGGCGCCCTGGTATGAAGGAAGCCCAGAACAAGGTTTCCCAGAAGAGACAATAGCCATTAGTGCTGGGTATTGTACTCAGTTCTTCTGAAAACTCTTATTTTGGTCCTCACAACAGACGGGGGGAAGTAGAGACTGTTGCCACCGGTTCACAAGACAAGGAGGGGTTAAGGGCAGAACAATACCTATGCATTGCTCAAGTTCTCTGGCAAGAGGCAGCGCCTGGATCCAAATCTTGGTTTGACTCACAACCCAGATCTTGCAGAATAAGTTTTAGTTTGATAGTCTTTCCCCCCCATTAGAACATTCTTAGTGAATGAAACATAAAAACAGAAAAGATAAAGGGAAACAGAGTGACGGGGAGAGGAGACCCACTGCTACTGTGTTTCGCGTGTCGCTGTAATTGGTGTTCCCCCTCAGCAGGGCTGGCTCAGGATTTGGCTGGGCCAGTGAAGGTGGGTGAGATTCCACTGTGGGTGTGGGGGCGAGGTGGGAACTGAGGCTTCCTGTCCCTGACAGGAACATGGCACTGCTCCGGGGGCTACTGGTGCTCAGCTTGTCCTGCCTGCAAGGTCCCTGCTCTGTGGTAAGTTTTCGGTCTGGTTGGGGTATGGAGGCAGGTGTGGGAGAGGTCAGAGTTTCAAGAGGCTAAAAAGGGTTGGTGTCTAAGGAGGGTTTGGCTCTTAGGGGGTTGCCCTGTCTCTCCTCATCCTTTCTCAACAGTTCTCTCCTGTGAATGCCATGGAGCGCTTGGACCAACAGGTACTGGGGAGTAAGGGAAGTATGATGGGGAACAAGGTCCTCAGGGTCTCCCCTGGGGCTTGTGTAGGTTGGGGAACCTGTGGGGAGGTTACGCTCCATCTGCTTCCTTCTTTCTTCAGCTAATGAGCCAGCAGGCCCAGGAGAAGCTGTCCCCACTTACCCTTCTCAAGTTGGGCAACCAGGTACAACCAGGTGGGGCTGGGATAGAGGGGGAGGGGCAAGAGGGAAGAGGGCGAGTCAGCAGGGGTGAGGGAACTGGGAACTGGCAGCCAAGAAGCTGCCTTCTAAAGAGAGAGGGTGGGAGTGATCAGAGGAAGGGAATCCTGTTGCCCAGAACCCCATGGTCTCCGAGAGCCTCCCTCTCCCACCAGGACTAGGACGAGGAATGGGGACATGAGGAGCTCTTCCATCTGGGATCTAGGGCTGGACCCTTGACCCCACTGACCCAGATCTGTCCCTGCAGGAACTTGGAGACCAGACTACCCTGAAGAGCGCCCAAGGAGACTGCAAGGGTGCCCCAACCCCTGAGCAGAACCGCAGGCTGGCCCAGGCCATGATGGCCTTCACCAGAGACCTATTTTCCCTGGTAGCCCAAACGTCTACCAGCCCCAACCTCATCTTGTCACCTCTGAGTGTGGCCCTGGCACTCTCTCACCTGGCACTAGGTACCATGGCAGCACCTGTCCAGATCAGCAGAGCTGGGAGGCCAATAGGAACTCATTACTCCAGAGTTTACCAGTGGGTGGCTCCTCCATCAGGGTCACTTGGATGTTTGGTAAAATGCAGATTCCTGGGCCCACCACCAGTCTGTGAATCAGATTCCCAGGTATTGGGCCCGGGATCTGCTTATGGTGATTTTTACGTGAGAGTCTGATAGATACGATTGGACTGGAGGGTCTTATTTTGGGAAACAGGTCCAGAGAGGGAAGACAACTGGTATGAGGTGAGGTCGCCCAGACTGTCAGTAGCAGAGGTGAACGTACACCTTGGGAGTCCTGTCACGCAGACCGGTTCAGTGGTTAGGGGAGGAGAATGTGTGATCCCACGGGCACCATTGCTGTGGGTCTTCCAGAGGGACTGGAGTGGGCAGTGGGGATGGGAAAGAACTCCCACCTGGGCCACAGCTGATGTGGTCCCCTCCAGGTGCTCAGAACCAAACGCTGCAGGGGTTGCAGCAGGTGCTGCATACAGACTCAGGGCCTTGCCTCCCATACCTGCTGAGCCACCTCTCCCGGGACCTGGGCCCTGGGGCATTCCGACTGGCTGCCAGAATGTACCTGCAGAAAGGTAGGTGCTGGTGACAGGCACTCCTTGGATAGCACTCTGGGTGGACAGGGTGGAGGGAGATGGGCTTGGCCTCAGGTAGCTGGTTGGATCACTGGTAGCTGTGGCTTCTGAGCCCTGGGAACAACTTGTGGTCCCTTCTATACAGGATTTCCCATCAAAGAAGACTTTCTGGAGCAATCAGAACAACTCTTTGGTGCAAAGCCCATGAGCCTAACGGGAAAGAAAGGAAATGACTTGGCAACCATTAATCAATGGGTAAAAGAGGCCACAGAGGGGAAGATTGAGGATTTCCTCTCAGAGCTGCCAGATGACATAGTGTTGCTTCTCCTCAATGCCATCCACTTCCAGGGTGTGTACCCCCTCTCATGTTTCCCACCCCTGTCCTGTAGGCTGAGCTGGGATGTGCAGGGGTCCCTCTTCTTCCTCAGGGCTGGGCCAGGAGGCAGGGAGCATGCTGGGTTGTGGGGGGTAGGAGATGGGTAATGGTGTGGCAGGGAGGGGGGCCCAGGTGGGGCTGTTGTGGAAGGAATACTCTTGGAGGAAGCCAAATCTGAAGGAGGTTGTTTCTGGGAGCATGGCAGGCATGGGGAGAATACAAGCCCAGAATTCAAAAAAGCTCAGGGAAGAGATGTCAGATTGAGTATCAACCTGGTACAGCAACCCCTGGGGTCTTGGCCTCCATCTTTGTCTCTTCAATGGGTTCTGAGTGGAACAGGGAAGAGGCTGATTATATGGAACCCACCCTGGTCCCAGCCTATGCGGCCCCCGCCCTCTGCTGTGTACAGGTTTCTGGAGGACCAAGTTTGACCCAAGCCTTACCCAGAGGGAAGTTTTCCACCTGGACGAGCAGTTCACAGTGCCAGTGGACATGATGCAAGCCCACACATTCCCTCTGCGTTGGTTCTTGTTGGAGCAGCCTGAGATACAGGTCACCTTGATTGCCAGGCTCTGGGTTCTGGGAGGTGGGGCAGGGAGGAGGCAGGCTATGGAGCATGCATGGGGGGAACAGAGAACATCACTTTCCTCAAAGTCATGTCCCTGGGGCAGGTGATTCTGAAAGGTCTCACTAGGACCCCACCCAGGTGGACTAAGGCTTCAGGCTTTTTGAGGTTCATTCAATCAACAAAAATACGTTGGGCATTTGTTGTATGCCAGATACTGTTTAGGCACTGGAGATTTAGTGGGGCTCAAGGGAGATGAGATCCCTGCTCTCAGGAGGGAGGAAGACACACAAGAGCAAACATAAATTAACAGGATAATTTCAGATAGTGGTAAATGCTACAGAGGGGGAGTAAAGTTGATTTATTAGTGACTGGGGAGGGTATCTTGGGTAGACTGCGCAGGGAGAATTCTTTGAGAAGGGGGCACTGAGATGAGATCCAGGTGATCTTTGATTATGAGGGTTTATTACAAGGACCCATGGGCCGTGGGACAACACAGAAACCATCCCGCAGCCATGGAGCCACTCAGGACCTGGGCACGCTCCACCCCGCCTCCAGCCCCGCAATCTGGAAGATGATCTGAGCTTTTCCTCAGTGGTCCTTTGAAGCGAGGATCTCATTGGGGTGGGTTTGTCAGTAACCTGATGGAACATTCTGAATGGCTAAAGTGCTCTGCCAAGCGGTCGCAGGTGTGGGCTCCCTTGCTTCCAGCCTAAATGTGGTCCCTTTGGCTTGAGCACTGATCCTGGGCCAGTCAGATGCAGCTGAGATGGCAGTGTTGGTTAGTTTCCCAAGGTCAGACCTGACCACAGCCACTCTGCAGTCCTCCAAGCACTTATGGCAGAGTCCTGGCTTCTCTCCAGTCCACCCTGGAAGGAGGTGGTCTGGGGCCTGGTTCCCCCCCCACCAGCTCTCTTCCTGCTGCTCCTCCCCTCCAGGCCATGCCCTGCCCTCCCCTTTCTTCCTGCCCCTTTGGTCTCTTTCCTTCTGTTCCTTGTCTTCCTCTTCTTCAGACACTCTGCAGGCAGGCCCCGCTGCCAAGCACAGCCTCTCCTCCTCCCACTGGCAGGGGTCCTCCTGCCTGCCCAGAGCCCCAGGGGTCGCTGTTTCAAGAGATCACTGAGTCCAGGACTTTCTACTTCTTTAGCTGCAGGTGTCTGACCCCAAATCATAGTATGTATGCCCAGGGCAGGTCACTGTTGAAGGAGCTGCTCCTTTGCAGCAGCTCCTTGGAAAGTTTGGAAACCAACAACCCAGTGCATTGTACACAGGGAGAAGCAGGTGAACAGGAGAAATTCCTTACCCCAGGTCACAGGGCTAGCTGGCAGCAGCTGAGTGCTGCCTAGGTGCAGACACTCTGCCAGAAGCTTTCAAGTATCTCTCTTTTGGTCACATGTCAGTCTGCCGCATGGGTAGCTATGTCATTCCCTGTCATGGATGAGGAAGTAGAGGCAGTCAGGCTGGGAAGGTACCTGAGGGGGAGGGACAAGCCCACCTGTCTCAGAAGCGCACCTGGGCCTAGACTCCAGCTAGGTGTGGCTGCCTTCTCGTTCTCATGTCGTCTCCTTCCTTGTTTGTAGGTGGCTTACTTTCCCTTTAAGAACAATATGAGCTTCGTGGTCGTTGTGCCCACCCGCTTTGAGTGGAACATGTCCCAGGTGCTGGCCAACCTGAGCTGGAACATCCTGCACCAGCCCTTGCTGCGGGAGAGGCCCACCAAGGTCCAACTACCCAAGCTGCATCTGAAACATGAGCTGGACCTGGTGGCCACCCTCAGCCGCCTGGGTAAAGAGGCGGGGCATGGGACAGACCCCTAGGTCAGGCTGGGCAGCCTTGGTTGGGAGGAAGCCCCCGCTAGCAGCGGATCTCAGTCAGAGCTAGTCTTGTGTCCTTTTCTGGGACCTAGGGAGGTGTGAGTGTTTGATGTGAGCTCCGGACCCTCTGTCCTAGGGGAGGCTGGTGAATGAGGACCCAGTCTACCCAAGACTGAACATGGCAGAGAATCCTGGTTGGAGAGCCCAGTGTGGCCTGTGAGCCTTGCTGGCTCTCCAGGAAGGGGGAGGAGGAGAAGGCTCTGTGTCACACTGCTCAGGAGGTACATCTACCCATGAGCATTTGCTAAGCAACTTCCACATTCCAGGCATAGTAGTAGGCACTTGGAGCCCACCATGTGCAAAGAACTTAGTCTAATCAGGTGGGCAGAAGAGGAATCAGGTATTTACAATTCAGCATAAGTGATAAGACAGCATAAATGATAACTCCAACCTGGGAGTTTGTTTCCAGTTCGCCAAGGAGAATATTGAAAAGGCACCTGTCCTGCGTTGGGGCAGGGCATCGGGGAAGTCTTCCTGGAGGAAGCAATCTTTAAACTGATACTTGGAGGTTAAATAGGAGTTAACTAGGAATCTTTGGATTCAAGGTGTTCCCTGGCCAGGATGACAGCCATCCTCCCAGGCAGGTCCAGGCAGCCTCTGAGGTAGGGGCAGCTCTGACCACCCATTTCCTATCCTGGGCAGGCCTGCAGGACTTGTTCCATGCCCCAGACTTGCGTGGGATCTCTGACCAGAGCCTGGTGGTATCCAGCGTGCAGCATCAGTCCACTTTGGAGCTTAGTGAGGCTGGTGTGGAGGCCGCAGCAGCAACCAGCACGGCCATGTCCCGCATGTCCCTGGCCTCATTCATCGTGAACCGCCCCTTCCTCTTCTTCATCCTGGAAGACACAACGAGCCTGCCCCTCTTTGTGGGCAGTGTGAGGAACCCCAACCCTGGTGCACAGTGGGAGCGAAAGGAGCAGCAAGATTCCCCTGACAGCAGGGACTTCTTCCAGAACCAGAAAGCCTCCTCCAAAGGAGACAAGCTCTTTGGCCCTGACTTGAAACTTGCACCCCCTTCGGAGGAGGATTATCCCCAACCTAGTAGCCCCAAGTGAGGGGCAGTGGTCAAGAGCATCCTGACTCCCTGCCTGGACAACCTCTCAACTCATGTGACTCTTTCCAAACAGCTTCATAGGATTAAGTGGGGAGGGGGGCCTGGGTGGACAGGCGGGGAGAAGAGGACAATAGTTCTCTCTGACTCCTTTTGGGGAATTTGGGGTGGGGTGGGGCCAGGATGAGGGCAGGCATCAGGGAATGAAGAGCCTCAAACCCAGATCATTCCTTCCTAAGGGGCTCAGAGGGTGCCGCTGTTTGGGGCTTGGGCAGAGGGGCAGCTATGGATCCACTTTTGTCAGGAAGGTAGGTAGATTATTCCCTAAATCGGCTGGAGCACCTCCATGTTTGTTTACCGGGGGGGGGGGGGAACAGGAGGGAGTGTATACTCTGGTTGGGGAGAGGAAACAGGTTGTGGGGGTGCCCCAGGAGGCAGAGGATTGTCCGGAATCGGACACCATGGGTCACCTTTGCTCTGTGGGTGGAGGTAAATGTTCCACATTCCCTCACCTCTGCCAACACCACCAGCCTCCAGTCCACCCTGATGTCCTGTCATCTCAGTTTCCCTGCCAGTTCTTGGAGATACCACTGCCAGGATCCCCCTTCCTTCCTCTCCTGTCTTCCTCCTCTGCCTGCTATTTCAGGGGCTGAGGCCAGGAAGGGCTCCTTTGCTCCCTAAGGCTCTTTTATAAAGTTTTTGTAGTGATTTTTATGCTACCTGAATAAAGAATGAATGGGCCTGGCTGCTTTGATGACACTGGTCTGGGCAAAGGTGGGAGTAGGAAGGCTGGAGAAAGGTGGGGAGGAGGCCCCAGAGCCTCCTGCACTGGGAACCTGGGTCTCAAGGAGTGGCAACAACCTTCCCTGTGCCACATTTGCTCCCTGGTCACTTGCCAGTCCTTCTCCCCCATGCAGTCCCCTCTGACCCGGGCAGTCCTCTCCAGGGCCACCTCCACGTCAGCCTGGCTCTCCTCTCTACATGCCTCAGGCAGATGGCAACCAGGGTGGCTTAGAATAGCGCCAGCCTTCTGGTTTGGGAGAAGAACTGGCAATTAGGGAGCTTGCAGAGTTTCTAATTACATGCCGGCCCTTCTGCCAGGAGCTGGCGCCCGCCAGCCGGGGGGCAGGCTGCTGAGAGCACCCGACTCCAGCTAGAGGCTGTCAGCACCTGAGGATTTAGGGGAAACAGTTGGGGACACCGTGGCATGGGGAGGGGGGCCGCATGGGTGTCCACGTGGGTGGCCCTTTTCTTTGAGGAGTGGGTGTCCACATGGCAGCCACCTGCAGGCTTGAAGTGCCAGGGTTAAGAGCCAGTGCCTGGGGTGGAATCTTGTCTCTTACAAACTAGCAGTGTGGGGAGACAGGTAATAAATAAACAAGTGAAATAGATGATATGTCAGCGGGAGACAAGAGCTCTAGTGAGGAATAAATTAGAGGAGTACAAGGAGTGTTGGGACAGGAGGCCTCCTGGGAAGGTGACACTGGAGCAAGAACTTGAAGGTGAGGATGAGCACCATGGAAATCTCAGGGAACAGCATCCCGCTGGGCAGAGGTATGCCAAGTGCAGAGGTCCTGAGGTGGAGACGTGCTGGAAAATTCCGGATGAGCTGGTGTCCGTGGGGCAGTGAGGGGGCTGGGGTAGGAAGATGTCAGAGAGGAACTAGGGACAGATGATGTAGGGCTTTTGGGCCACTCTAAAGACACTGGTTTTTATATTAGAAGAGGCGAGGCATCCCTGGAAAGTTACATCAGCAAGCCCAACCACTTACTTTTACCCCGTAATTCTTTCTCAGCTCAGGTCTCTCCTCCTTTGCATTTTGGTTCCCACTGCCCGGGTTGGGTCTAGTCATCACTCCTAAGGGTCCCTGCCATTGTCTCGTACCATCCCCTCCACCCCCCTCCAGCCAAGATCTGGCTGCCTTAACTTCAGCCTTTGCCCTGCAAATGCAAGCAGGGATGGAGCTCCAGGGATGCAGCCTTTGCCCTGCAAATTCAGGAGGGATGGAGCTCCCTCCTGAGCCAGCAGCACTCGAAGCTCTGGGTTGCGGCACTGGACAAGCAGACAAGATCCCTACCCCTGAAGCTGATATATGGTGGCAGTTGTTCTAGACAATAAGCAAGTAAATTGAAATACCAGATCCAGTAAACAGAATGAGGAGTGCTTCAGAAGTTCTGAGATTGTGTGACACCAAGTAACTGCTTAACCGTGCAAGGCATATTGTGGATCAGGGGAGGCCCCTCCAAGGTGACACTGGAGCTGAGAGATGGGAGATAAAGACCTGACTGTTCTATTCAGAGAGCAAGGAGGAATGCTCAGGAAGAGGGAACAGCCAGGGCAGAGACCCCAAGGCAGAAAAGAGATTGGGTCTCTGCAGGGACAGAAGGGAGGCCAGTGTGACTACACTGTGACAAGCATAGGGGAAACCGCGAAATGAAGCCATAGAGGTAGGCTAGGGCCAGGGCCCACACCGGTCTTGTAGGTCAGAGCAAGAGGATTGGATATCCGAGGATAAAGGGAGTTTTGTGTGAAAATTTTTTGATTGAAATAGAACATGCAAAGTACACAAGTCATAAGCATACATAAGCTTAATGAGTTTTTCCCAAGAACCAAATATTCCTGGGCAACCAGCACCCAGGTCAAGAAGCAGTGCTCCCTGACATGTAATTTCAGATTTGTTTTTCTTTTTCTTTTTTTTTAAAGATTTATTTATTTATGCATATAAGAACTGGGGTACAGGCCAGAGGTGTGGGGTGGTAGTGAGAGGATTCACCAGATACAGAGTGGGAAACAGAAAAGGCAGATCCACTGAAATACACTGCTGAGGGGAGCAGCAGGCGAGACAGGAGAGGTCTGCTAACGCCATGTGGGTTGCTCCCTGGCTGGGGATCGAACTCGTGCTGCATTGGCCGTGGATAGCTTTATAGGCTGCGTCCCAACCCCTTGCCCCACCAGATTTGTTTTTCTTGATCTTGAACTTTATATAAAGGAGTCACACAGGCTGTGCTCTCAGGGTCTGCTTTCTTTCGTTCACCACATGCATATGAGATTGATCAGTGTACTGTGGCGAGCCATAACTCATTCCCCGGGGAAGGCTTTTATCTGAGGGGTGCCACTGAAGCACATTTAAGAGGCTTACTGGGCTTCTGGGTGGAGAACAGCCTCAGAGGGACAGAGAAGGTGGGAGCTAGGGAGACTGGTTAGTAGGCAAGAGATGTAGGTGGCTTGGTCCAGGGTGCTGAGTGTAGAAATGGGAGAAAAGTGGTCAGAATTCAGATATATTTTGCAGATAGACATTACAGAATTGCAGATGGTACAGGAAATGAGGGGAAGGAAAGACTCAGAATGGTGAAGTTTATCATTTAACTTCCTAGCCCTTTGTTTTGAGAAATGGGTTTACTGAGATGGGAATCAGTGTGAGGAACAGTCTTTAGGAGTGACTAGAGATTTCTGTTTTCAAGTTATTATGATTTAAATGCCACACTGTATAGGGTGACCACGTGTCCCCATCTGCCTGGACAGTTTGAGCTATCCTATGGTTTCAGTTTATTAATTTTTTAAAAAGATTTATTTATTTATGCATACAAGAGCTGGAGTACAGGCCAGAGTTGTGGGGGGTGGGGGGTGAGAGGATTCACCAGAGACAAAGTGCGGAACAGAACAGGTAGATCTACTAAAATACACTGTTGAGGGGAGCAGCTGGTGAGCCAGGAGAGGTCTGCTGCACCATGTGGGTTTCTCCCTGGCCGGCCCAGAGATGGAACTTGGGCTGCAGAGGCCGTGGACAGCTTCATAGGTTGTGTCTTAACCCCTTGTGCCACCAGGGAGGCCCTGGTTTCAGTTTAATTAATAGCACCCTGTTTACTGTTAGGAGTGTACTGCTGATAAAGTATATGTTCATCCTACCCATTGGGCATCTATGTGATATGTCAAATGAGCAATTGGATACTTTGGTCAGCATTGGAAGTATATATTTGGGAGCATACAGATGCATTTAAAGTCACAGAATTGGCAGAAATTGCCTAAGAGGAGATAAAGACAGAGAGGAAAAGGAGTCCCAGAATCAAGCCAGGTGTCAAGCCAGCCAGGAAGACAGAAAAGATGCAGCCTGAGAGGTGGGAGGAAAACGGCAGGACTGGGGAATCAGGGTTTCAAGAGAAAGGAACCCTCTGCCATTCCGGCTCAGGCGAAGAGCAGAGATGTCCGTTCGGTGGTTAACACAGAGTCACCTGTGAACTGGCTACAGCGGTTACAAAGGAAAGTTGGACACAGAAACTAGGCTGGGGTAGAGGAGGGAATGAGAACTCAAGAGAGTGCAGAGACAAGAGGAAATGACTTTTCAGTGTGGCTTTGAGGGAGAACTGAGAAGTAGGCAGTGGCTTAGGGGAGGGCCAAAACGGAAGTGTCTTTATTTTTTATTTCAAGTATAATTTCTACTTTATTCAAATCTTTTTTTTTTTTAAAGATTTATTTATTTATTTATACAAGCACTGGGTACAGTCAGAAGCGCGGGAGGGTGAGAGAATTCACCAGAGCCAGAGCGGAGAGCAGAACAGGCAGAAGGACTGAAGTACACTGCTGAGGGGAGCAGCGGGCACAGGAGAGGTCTGCGCGCCATGTGAGACCCTTACCCGGTGACCGGGGATCGAACCGGCGCTGCAGAGGCTGTAGGTAGCTTCGCAACCCAGCACTCAACCGCTGCGCCACCGGGGAGGCCCTTTATTCAAATCTTTTTAAAAAAGATTTATTTATTTATGCATACAAGAACTGAGGTACAGGCCAGAGGTGTGGGGGGTGAGAGGATTCACCAGAGACAGAGCAGGGAACAGAACAGGCAGGCTGACTGAAATACTATGCTGAGGGGAGCAGCGGGCGAGGCAGGAGAGGTCTGCTGCGCCATGTGGGTAGCTCCCTGGCCGGCTGGGGATTAAACTCATGCTACAGAGGCTGTGGATAGCTTCACAGTCTGTGCTTAACCCCTTGTGCCATGAGGGAGGCCCGGAAGTATCTTTAAATATGGGAGTGATAAGGATATTTGGAGGCTGTGGCGTGATCCTTCTGTGCAGGAGCTAACCTACCAAAGAGCACAAGGGCAGTCTCTCTCCTTGGCCAGGAGCAGGACATAC